GACCCTGTCTGTCAGGGCTTAACCAGGCTAAAAGGGATACAACGTCTCAGCATAACAACCAAAATACTCGATAAAAATTATCTCCATACAGGAATTGAACTCAAGTCCTCTGCATTGCAACAACGGAGAGCTAAACCGCTGCCCACAGACGCTGTTGTGCAAAGATTGTTCTCAAATAACTTCCATTTGAACAACAAAACAAGATATTTTCATTAGTGTGGGAAACGACATCCAGAATTAACTCATAGGAGACCTACTGTTTGGGGGCACTTTAAAAAGAAAAAGAAAAACTTCGGCACCCATACAGATTTTTCCCCATTCTGTTTTCTGTACCTGAAACTTGTAAAGGATAATGTGTCATTTCGTGCTTCTAATCTGGATGCGATGGCTCGAAATGTGCAGCCACATTGCCTTTTGACTGCTGCTGCTGATCGATATTATACGTGTCCGTTATGTCCTTTAAGAGTGAAACGTGAACTGCGGGTCACGCTTCATTATTTTAAAAGGAGATCTATTTTTATTACGATCTCTGACTCATTGTAGGCCTACACAAAGAAATAATCAGTGGTAAATGTAAGGGATCATTGCTCCGCCACGTATTAGAGCTCTTTTTATCATTCATTATGACTTAATTTCAACGCGAAACCCATAAACACAAGGGCATGACAAAGTGATAGCAAAACATAAATTAAGCAGTGTATTTTTCAACTTTCGATTCATGCTTTATCAAATATTTCTGATCAGCATCCCCTCCTCCCCCCCCTCTCTCTCTCTCTCTCTCTCTCTCTCTCTCTCTCTCTCTCTCTCTCTCTCTCTCTCTCTAACTGCCTCTCTGTCGACAGTTGCCGAAATTATATTGACTCTTTGAGGACGCACTATTCTGGTCGGTCGACAACGCTTTGATTGAAAGACGCTGTTCTGGAGCACTCGAATCACAACTTTGTTACTCGATCGGAATTTTCTATTGTTTTTTTTTTAAATCTAAAATTTTACAAGGCAGACAACAAGATGTAAATCTATAAAAAAACGTATTCAGATTCCTATGACTAATTTGTGTATGTTGGTTCAAATTGTGCCGCAACGTTGCATTTGGTTTGCTCCTAGTCGGATATATATTTATGTCTGCTACTTCCTCCAAGAGTTAATGAAATGCGTGGTCATGGGTAAGAGGGGAAGAAAAAAGGGAATGCAGCTACAACATCATCTATCTGCACAATGAGAAAGAAACAAGAAATACTTGAATCAAAATACTTGCACAAATGCAACCAAGAGGTGCTAGCACGACGAAGTACAGCGCAGCCTCTCCATAACGACATCGTAGGGACCAGAAAAAAATGCCGTTATAGATAGTGGTCGTTATAGAGAGGCAACCAAAATATTACTTATTACGATAAGGGAAAAATCGGGACCTGGGCACCATGTCGCTATACAGAGGATGTCGTTATCGAAGGTCTTTATAGAGAGGCTCCACTGTACATTATACAATCGCAAGTTTAAGTTTAAGTTTAAGGAAAGAGACGCACGCACGTACAATATGAATTAGGTCTTGAACTTGAAGTTGAAGTGCAGGGATGAACAAAACAGATACAGCAGGGGGAAAGGAAAATTGGACCTCTATCAGTGGTGCCTCGTGAAACCAGTACATAACAAAATAATAAAGTACAATAATGTATTGGCCTACAGATCGAATTCACAATTATATAATATGTTCATTCAGTTTAGGTAGGTCAAATATGAAAATGTTGACTGTATGTTGAGGAAGCTGAATACCCATAGCCTAGGGCCTAGAATGATAACCAAGAGAAATTTGTCAGAACTATAACAACAACAATTTAAGCAAAAAATTGTAAAAAGAATAAAAGAAGAAGAACAAGAAGGATTATAACCAAGGAGTTCAGTTCTACGCTCCTTGATTATAACATAAACTTCGATACGATCAACAACAGACAGCAGCAACACCAACACGTACCATCAAAGGAATCAACAACTTTTTGCAAACTGGCATGTGATGTTGCTTTTATAAGGATTTTCTTTATTTTGACTACAGGAAATAGATTTTCCCCATTAGCACAATGAGTTGATTTGTGTGCTTCGATAAGAGAAAGGCAAACCTGGAAGGATTTGAAAATTTCTTAATTTTTCGAAAAAAAAAGTTTCTACTTCCTACTTCCTGTTCAAAACTTAAACTTCGAAAATTTCAATGAACGAGTAAAATGGCGGACGTCTCTTGTTTATGAATTTACGGAGGAGCAGTCCAAAAGTTTTACTTTTTACAGTATAAGGGCGATACAACTCGTGGATGGTGAGTGTTGGCAGCACATTTCTTAAGTCAAACTGTCACCCCAGTTTTGTGGCAGTTTTTGCTTTTGTCTTGGGAGTAAGATATAGATCTAGATAAGATCTAGATTCTACTTACTGCTAGTGTTTTCTCTTCTTGTCCTGCGTCTGTGCTGAGATGCACATCTTATCAGGAACCTATTATGTCGGACGTTCTCGGCGGGCCGCCGGGGTCACTCAGCATGTACAGTCGAACCTGTGTAAGACAGAATCGCAAGGGAGCCAGAAAAAAATTCCGTCTTAGACATGGGAATGTAGGGGGAGATGGGGATTGGGGGGGTTCTAAGGCCCAGCCGGTGGGATCAAGGATCACTTAATTATTAATTGTCCGATCGGCAAGCAGTGGTCAAAACTTCACACCTCTCAATTGCTATCCTGTCTGATAATGACATGCACCAGTGTTACTTATCCAATTACAACCAGTGCTTGCCTTTCATAGGACCACTGTTTGACCTATTAAAAACTGAAACGTTTGAACATCTCCTTTGGTTCCACCCTTAGCCCAACCCACCAATGCCACCCCTCACTGCCATCATTGTAACAACGATTCGAGGAACTCTTTTCTCGGCTGGCCGTACGATCAGGGCGGCAGGCTGTGGTCAATCTAATTTCACACCTCTGGCTTCTGGCTACCCAGGAAAGTTTCCCTAGTGGCTCGCTACTCGAGCACTCTCATGGGAAGTCATGAGATTTCACACCCTCACTACACTGACCATCTGCATCGCTCAGGGCTCACATGAAAGGGTAACATCTGCCCCCAAATTGCACCCCAAAACCTCTACCTCGAACAGCGGCATAGCCATAGTGTTAAGTTTAGAGTCGGCGGAACCAAACTTGCGAGTTTTGTTTCAAATCAGGGTTGAGCGGGCAAAGCATTTTCCGTCTTAGGCAGGTGAAACCCTCAGAAGGGAGCGGATTTTTCTTTCCATTTCTGCGTTGCACAGGTTTCCGTTTTATACAGGTAATTAAAGAGGAATATTTAGTGTACAGCAAGCGGCACTGGAAACGTGTGTTTTCACCGTGAATACCGTGTGGGAGTGTGTTAATCGATGGTGGAAGTAACGCTCTATCTTTTATTTATAGCTTTCTGTTCATAAAGTGTTATGAACACATGAATAACCCGAACCCCCTCTCATATAAGCTGATACATTACGAATGTAGTCTACTGTGATGGTGTCTTTTATGGAAATCTGATGCAAGGCTGGAAGTGGAAGAGAAGTAATCTTAACATTTTAGTTCAATGGTGCTGATTATTTTGCAGTTCTGTGTACTATTTCATGATTTTATAAATATTAGTTTCAACTTTAATCTATAAATAGGTCTTTAAGGTAATGCCTTTTCTTTCCATCTCCTAACAGCTAATAGCTAATGTTAAGCCACTGTACTGTCGATGAGCGAACAGATTTTTTTTGGTAGAACTTAATGAAGATTTCCTAATTTTTCTGCGTCATAGGTCGTAAGCTGCTCAGTTTTGTTCCCTTGAGCGGTGGCCTTAGCCAGAGCCAACCTGGAGTCTGAGGAGATGATTACTTGCTGTGACACCCAGGACTTCATTCCTTTCGGCCGAGAGTACTTGCGCCGACATCCTGGGCAGTTTCAGGTCAAGGTAATCATCTATATGTGTGTAAATATACAAAGTGTGGAGACCTGAATGTGTTGTCGAAGGATTAAAAAGTTTTATGACTTCTAAATAAGCCTCATCTTTTCAGTTATGTACGGTTGAGGAGAGTTTGGCACTGTGCGCTCTCTGTATACATAGGGTGGTGCTCAAAACTTATAGAATTTGTAAAGTAGAGCTTAGCTGCTCTGTTTTTCCTTCAATGACTGTTTTATGGATAGTGTGTGGAGTAATTGAACAGTCTGATTTGTTTTGAATTCGTGGATGATTTTTCTTCATGCAAAACTCAAATTAAGCTTTTCTAGTTGGATTAAAATTTTTTTGTTTTATCTGCCCTCAGAGAAAATGCAACTCCCCAGTGAATGAACAGGGACTACCTCTGATCAAGTCTTTTAAAGAGATCTCATTATTGGAGACGACCAAGGTGAGCTTATGATGATTTGTTGTGGTTTGTTTTGTGGTCAGCAAAATGATATACAAGTTGCTTAGAATTTTACAAATTATACTTCTTTTAATCATTTGTTGAACATGGTATTAATATGTGCAAAAGAGAAAAGAGAGGAATGACTGCCTCAGTGTGAAAAACAGACAAAATAATATCAACGTGCTTAGATAATCAGTTTCAAGTCTCATTTTTCCCTGCTCTCGATGGAGAATGCGTGCTTTAGTGTAAAGGACTGCAAGACATTTATTTTTCTGTGGTTAAAACAGTCGGGCAACTCAGAGATCTTTTCTACATGTAAGATTGTTGTTTTTTTTAGCTCTTTGCCTCTTGGTCATGGCTGATACTGTGTTACTTTTTGTTTGACATTCTTCTTCTAAGAGCAATTGCCAAAACGTGAGACTCTCTTGAGATTCAGTGGTGCAAAAATTTTTTCTTACCAATTTGACTCTTTTCTGTCAGTCACAGATTGACATTTAGTGCTCATATTCCTAGAGTATCAGAGCAAGGAGATGTACGGTTTTGGAGATATGGGTCTATTGGTTTGGCAACTACTGTATTTCTTGTATGTAACAGTGATGACAAAAACAGATAAGCAGCAAGGCAAATTATGGACTTTAAATTCCATTTGTTTAGTAAACAAAGACTTTGTACACTATGAACTCCATTCATAATGGTAATATGAATGACAATCTTTGTAACAATGACGCAGTGCTCAGAACATGTCATCATTGTTATGTACAAGAAAGGATACACATTGGACATTATCATTGACAACACATCACAATAGTGAAAGGCTGTACAAATACAGTTATCAAAGCCTCAGTACCAGAAAAACACATGTGTAAAACAATTTTTTAACTAATATGAGGCAAAAGCACAAAATCAATTGAGCTGACCTGTACATAACAGTGATGACAAACATGACTTGTACATAACAATGATGACACAATGTACAGGAAAAGACAAAAGTCTTGCCTCCAGAGAGAAAAGCGCACTTTAAGAATTAAAAAAAAACCAGGAGAGGTTTCTTTTGCTTTGAAGCAGATATCAGGTCATATCAAAGACAGTGGACGATCACAATTATGTTGCTAATTATGACAAACAGTACTCGTACATAACAGTGATGACAAAACATACTGGGAAAAGGTAAAATCATGCCTACAAAGAACAAATTTGCACTAAGAGATACACAGATCAATAAAGGCGTATTTGTTTCTAAATGAATCTTGCATGTATGAAATATATGTTGAAAACTTATTGATATTAGCAATGATGACAAATATTACTTGTACATAACAATGATGACACAATGTATTGGAAAAAGGTATATCATACCAACAAAGAACAAATGTGTATTTTTGAGTTAGACAGATAAACAAGGACATGTTTGTTTATTTGTTTGAGTAAAGAGAGCACACATTACTTAAAAATGTTTGCTCTTAGGACAATGTAATTTCTAGTACGTCAGTCAGTCTTGTACGGCTGCATGACGACACCCCAAACGTCATCACTGAGCACAAAAGCTAAATCTATAAGCACAGAAATGATCCATCTCTCGAAGTTTGTTCACACATCACACTCTTGTTCCAGGAATCTAGTGTAAACACTAAAATATTCAACAGAGTAGCCTAAAAACATGCAAAACAGCCCAGTACGTCACATTCAACGCAAAATTCTTGTGCGTCACCGGACGCTGAAGGCAATGACTACTTTCGTTTTTCTGTTTCCCCCGTTGCTTCCGTTGTTCTGGGGAAGCGGGTAAGGGGAAGTCACTCAAGAAAACAATTATATCCGGGCACTGTTGATGACCCGTTCAAAACAAAAGTGGGCGAAATTCGGACTTCCGGCACGTCGCAAATTGACGACAATAACGGCGAATGTTAAACAGCCGACCGAAATCGTAGATCTAGGAACCCGATGTTCCTTTCGCGCATCACGGCTTTTGAAGTATTGAATAAACGACGATAGGCAAAGAGATTTAACCAGCTACAGTGATTCTACTGAAAAATAATGGTGTTTTCTGAAACACCTAGTCCGTGACGACAGGACAGACGCACAAGTAATCCGAATTGTTCGTCTATTTGCAAACAAATAAACCGATTTCTTGAGCAAGTTAACCTTTTTCAATGACAAATAGCATAGGATCAAAGAACACGTGAAAAAAACCCACCCAAAAATACTAAATTTTGGACATTCTTGGAAGTTTGCATTGGTGTGCTCAAAATTACACTCCAGGAATCACTAAAAATCGAACATTTTTGGCACAAAATTTACAAACTCAAGATTATAAAGCTGACATGGGGTCTGAAACTGCTAATGCAGGTTCTACATCCTATATTTGACATGTGTATAAGTTTTGGAGGAATAGATACTAATGCATCACATTTTATGCACACTAATGTGAGATGTGTGTGTTTTTCCCCACGTTTTGGCAATGGCTCCTAATGTAAATTCTATGATCACTCATTATGGAGCAAGAGACAGAAACAATTGTAAAAGTTGTGTTTTTGTCTTGTAAAGAGAATATTATGGAGAGAGGGAGCTGGGATCTGTTATTATTAAAACAAAATATCTATTTATGCTTCTTTGTATTTTTTGTCTTAATCTTAAATGTCTTATTGAAAAACATCAAACCAAAATGATGTATAATTTTGTCTTATTGTGTAGACTTATATATGTATCTTCCTTATTGTGCAAGTACCCCAGTGTTAGGCCTAAATGTTTTTAAGAGTGTAATGCTACCTCCTCTTTTTTTTGGTCCCGTCTCATCTTATTAGGTCTTATCTTTGTTTGCCCTATCGGGGACCATAATATATTGCTCTCCTCAGAAGGAAGACTGGGTGTTCCGGCAGCGCAAAGGTGACAATGTTTTCGACGAGGAGCTTTACGCTCGTGGCGCCACTGTCGTTTGGAGCAGAGGTGGCCAGGACAGTGTGCGAAAGGTGGTCAAGACTTTCACCATGGACGGTCCTGTATTACAGGTTAGTTGTGTGGAAGCGTGTGAGGGAGACTGGGGAATGAAGGTCCTGGCCTTATAATATGTGTTTTTGAATGTTTTTGTCTTCGAAAGATGGGGAGTGAAGGAGATTATAAAATTATAATACAGTATAACATGAATAGGTCGAACACAGAAGACTTGAAATCACGCATCGATCGAACTGTGCCAGCGGTCCTGTTTTTTTTTCTTCTTCTTTATCTTTGTAAGATATCCCTCAAACTACAGATCCCTCGAATTACCGAGGCAGGTCCTGATGAATTCGAGCTATCCGTGTTATAGTGTGTATATCGAACTCAATGTTTTTATACCAAACAGACACATGTGTGTGTGCCTAAACAAGGGTACCAACAGTCGCCACAGACCTTTCTGAGCCACTGGCTGATAATGACCAAAAAATCACTTTTTGGACCAAAATGTGTTTCCATAAAAAAAACTGATAGGTGTTGATTGACTTGACTTCTAAATATTTCATTTTGAATAATTTTGAGACTAGCGTATTTTTTAAAGAGATAATGAAAACTGCTTTTAGAATTTGTCAAAATCTATTTTTGAACACGTTTTCTTTTCGCCGATATGTTTAGCCATTGAATTCTAATCGTGATATTATTTCAACTAAATGCCAAATTGGAAATGGATTTTCCATGCATAAATACATTAGAAAAAATGGAATCGTTTTTTTTTTCAAGTTTGTATGTGTCCTAAACTTAAAAGCTAATTTTCAGAAAATTAGATCTTTATACCCTACCTGACAAAATGTGCAATATCTCTAAAACTACTTGAGATAACTCAAAATTTGAAAAACCACTGTGTTCAGCATTGGATTTCCTGTAAGGTACAACCCTTAACTCAATATGGTCAAAATTCGACTTTTGGTACCTTTCTTTAGGCACACGCACATATTCTGTTTTGAAGCTAATGAATAATTGGTGAATATTGTTTCCTTGTTTTTATAGCCTTGGAAAAGAACCTCATATATTAATAACTGTAAAAAGGGTTCTTCAGCTACAAATAAATTTGCTAGTTGAGAAATGTTAAAAAAAAATTAATAGCATGTTTTATAATTTCTTTTCAGGTGTAACTGTAAGGTTGGGGGAGAGATACAAAAAGTTTTTTAAAATTCAAAGATACTTTAAAAAAATGTCAATTTAGAACTATTGTTACACTACAGTTTTGAATATTAAATAAAAAATTTCAAGATGTTACATTTGACTTGTTCGTCATTTTCTTCATATACTGCTCCACATCACAGGCTTTATGGGGCTCCTTTGTCCTGTCATCGGATGAGAACACGATGGATTCTAGGTCAACACTTGGGGCTTCCGGTGAGTGAACATTCACTGATGTAATAGGCGGTGCTCATTGGTGGATTGGTTCAGTTGTGTTCGGTTTCAGTGCCCATTATTAATAGACGAACTGCCCAAACCGATTGCCCGACGAGCGGCCTTGAAATCAATTACATTTGTTAATGAAGGTATCATTGGTTTTGTCGGATTTGCTCCTCCCATGGAGGACTGTCCTGCCAGCCCAAACCGACAAGACCGAGTCGCACTGAACCGATGATGCCAATGGGCACCGCTTATAACATGCTATGCAGGTGTTATTGCTGCTTTGAGAGGGAAAGTCATCTTGGGATTTTGTGGGTCATGTACATACAGTGGAAAATCGTATATAACAGGCCCGGTAATGACAGGGATCCGGTAATAACTAGGATTTTTTAAATCCCCGTTTTTTTCCTTCTCTTTGTCTCTATTAAAAGTTATTGGCAATAACAGGGCCTTATCGGAGCCCAATCGGTTATAGCAGGGACAAAGGCTCGTTAGCAATGTGTGAAAAAAAGAGAGAGAGAGGAGAGAGAGAGAGAGAGAGAGAGAGAGAGAGAGAGAGAGAGAGAGAGAGAGAGAGAGAGAGAGAGAGAGAGAGAGAGAGAGAGAGAGAGAGAGAGAGAGAGAGAGAGAGATCGCACTGATGGAGGAAGCCTACTCAAGCCACGCCACTGCAAGCACACGCAGTGGGTGAAGCAAGAGAGGGCTGTGGTGTGCTGCAGACTTCGATCTAACCCTAAGCCTAGCTGGATTAGTCCACAAATGTTTACTTCCCTTGCATTTCTGGTTTAACAGGGATCTGATATAACAGGACTTTTTCTCTAGTCCCACCATCCCTGTTATATCAGGTTTCCACTGTATACAGTTGAAATTGTTCAGGATGGCTACGTATTGTCTCGGAGAAAAGTGGTTGTTTTAGACGAGTGCGTCTTGGACAGCGTCATTATTATGTAAATGCAAGTTCTTTTAGGTCTTCCCCTCTTTCTCTTTCAAAGTGGATTCATCTTTTGGTTGCTAATGTTCATTTTTTCCGTGTCTCTCTGTGTGTCCATTTCACTTCTATTTTCTCTCTCTGATGTCTATGTCTATTTTCTGTTGGTTTGTTTTTCGCCGAAGTTGTTTGTTTTTCGCCGAAGTTGTTTGTTTTTCCCCGAAGTTGTTTGTTTTTCCTCGAAGTTGTTTGTTTCTTGTGGTGTCAGGCTCTTGCTTTAGCAGCGCTTGCTCAAATATTGATAAAAATTGAGATGTGTGATGTAATTTTCCCATTGCCCACTTTCTGATAATTGTTTGAGTGTTAGACTTACATAGTTTGTACCCATATCATCAAGCAGATCTGCTGTCATTTTAAAAAGTACGGTACATGCAGTTTTTATCATTTTACAGGAGAGCAATTTGGTCTCATTACACTAATTTTCTATCAAGAAGGTGGTGTGTGGGTTTTTGTAGTTGTTGTGTCTGAAAAGTTTCATGGTTGTATATAAATGACCTTATTAAGGATTATATTACATGTTTTGTGTTATTTTTGTCTCAGGCAAAGAGCAGCATGGCATTTGTGTGGTGGAGTCAAGTACTCTGAGCTTTTTTGTGGAGGAAGGAGGAGACTATGTCACCCCTCTACCCTTTCAGGTAACAGGATATACGGCTTTGTTGAGAGTTTTACTCTAGTGAGAGACACAGGACGTGAGAGATTCTTTTTGTATGGTATGAATATTTTGTGAAGAAAAATAGGGCTATAGTCCTGCATGACAAAAGGATCTGAAATGTCGGCCAAAATTTTACCGTTAGAGTTTGGGGGGGGGGGGGGGGGGGGAGAAGAAAGTGATATTAAATGTCTGATTTTCTGTAGGTGATTTACTTTTGCAAGTTGATGCAGGTTTTTCCAAATGGAAAGTGTAATTCTGATTCATCACAAACTCCTAAGCCATGTATGCAGTGCAGATGATTAAAACGTTTTTTGGACATATAGGAAAAGAGACCCAGTTTGTTAATTACAATGATTTTTTTGCAGGTGTCAAGGACATGGCAAATCAAACATGGCTTGTTATTTGAGCGGACACTTACACATGCCGAAAGGAATACACCCAAAAGGTGATGCATCTCACATTTCTTCTCTGGGGGGCCAGGTGTTAACCAGAATGCACCATATGATCGCATGCAGTTGTGAGGGCTGTAAAACTTTTACCTAAACAAACAAAACAAAGACATACCATCGTTTTTGTCTTCCTCTTCTCTCCTCTCCTCATAGACTCCTGGCTAGACCTTCAGGGTAGTTTACCATATGCTCTTCAGCGTGACTAGTATTTAAGCAGATTGTTTTTTCTTCTTCGGTAATATGAAGTCTCTTCCCTTTTAAATCTGTTTCTGTGGATTAAGCATTGGGTTCTATTTAAAACCCACTTTCATTTCCTGGTGAGCATTCAGGCATGCTCCGGGAAAAACCAGGGTCAGATAGTAGTTATGTAGGGGAACACACATGGTGAGTTGATGACATAGTGTCAGCAATAAGAACAAAGCACTCTTTCTTCACACCTCACCAAAAGCTGTTGAAAATAACCCTTCTGGAACAATCGCAAGTGGTAAGTACTACTTTCTAGTAATGCCTCTAATCCTCGGCACTTATGTAACCTATTAGTGTTGCAAGTGCCGTAAATCTCTTTCTGCCTCTCGGGCAGTGCCACTGATTGTAGTGTCTTTAGGCCATTCCCAAAGACGGGATATTAACATGTTATGCACAGTAGATTTGTAAATGGGCTGGTTTATCAATGTCATGCTCGTACTATGCTGGAACAACGTAGGGGAAACTGCTGCTTTTTCTTTCCTCATCCTTACTATCGTCATTTTTCCTCTACTTCTTTTGCACGTTTGTCACTCTCTTGTGAACTGCTATTTCCGGGGTGCCTTGATAGTCGAAGCAGACTTTGTGCTCTTGAGGCTAGAGAGGTGAGCAGAGTAAATCTGATTCCCCGTTTGGACTTCTCTGTTGACATCCACCCCTTGGCGCTCATATGACCTTATGCAATTGTGAGCGCCATACATAAAACCTTACTAAAACAAAAAACCCAAACTTTTACTGAAACTCAAACTAAACTTGTATGTGTATGCAGGAACTGTCCCAGCCAGACTGTAGTGTTCAGCATGCTGCATCCCTTGGACGATGTGGCCCCGGTCATCACGAGAGTCTCCACTGGTCAGTGACCAATTCATTTTGTATATATATATATTTTTTTTTTGGGGTCTGTGTTTGGTTCACTGGGCACTTTTTTGCTTGAGAGTTGATTATGCAGATCTTTTACTTACAGATATAGACTGTAAAACGCTTAGAGCTTGCTGTTGAGCGGAAATTTGCACCCTACAAATACTGTTTATTATTTATTTATTATCGATTATGTCTGTCTGTTTTGTAACTTTCAAAATGTTGATATGAGCAGAGTCATGGGGAGGGTAACAGTAACTAAAAAAAAAATGATATTGAGAAAGTTACTTGTGATATTTATTGTTGATACCATCATTATTACTATTGTTTTTGCAGTTGTTTGTGTTGCAAATTGATTTAGAAGTACAGTTTTATGTTTAAGGCTTTATAAATAGTTGAAAAAGTGTAACCTACATTTTGAGCTGTGTGGTGAAAATGTTCTGGTTGTGTATTCATTTTAAAGTCCATTATTTCATTGTTCGGTAGATTCTTTGTAAGAAGATACAAATTCAGGACTCACATCAATTTAAATTACATTGAAATGGAACAGTCAAAACTTAATGTTTAAGTGATGTGCATTTTTGTTTTTTTACATTGTAAAAGAAGTTTATCTTTAATCGTAAGAAATACTATTGTGTAAGTTTGACTACTAGAATTAAAAATAAACCCGTTTGATAAAAGGGCAATGTAGATATCTAACTTGTCTTTTTTTTTTTTCAGGTGGAGGTCCCCCCAAAGTGTCCTACTTGACAGACACCAACTTGACCTTGACCTTCACCTGCTCCGATCCGTCCTTGGCTTTTACGTACGATTCAGTGGCCGGCCTCCACTCTGTGTGGAGAATTAGGAAGGTTTGGGGAGAGGTAAATGGACCAGGTTCACTTTATCCATTTGTGATTTATGATCAAACCTCTGTTTGTCGGATGGTGGAGCATATGAGCTCATGGGATTTGTGTGTCTCTTGGTATTGAGTTTGATTTTTAAGTTGTTGATGTTAATGTTCATCTTACTAACTGCAGGGTGATTTTTGAGGTGCAGTACATGTTTTGTAAAATATATTCTTTGCCTTTATTCTTCTCAGGGAGTCTCTTAACTGGTGATTGTTAGGCTCTATGTTGCACATTGGTCTATTTACTGATTTGTATATTGTGTCCAACCTTTGTTTCCACCTGATTGTGACCAGGGCTTTGAGACCCACCTGTCAGTTTAGTCAAGAAACTACTTGTTTTGGAAGTTACCTTTTAAAAAAATGTGGGTGTTTTGCGGGTGCACTGGTGTGGCTTGCTCCTCCTTTCGTGTCAAATATCTGTCGTGGCTATCTCTTCTCCTTCTTTTCTTAGTATGTTTGTCTCTTTTTCCACCTCTAATCTTTTTCACTCATATGTCCTATGTGTGTTGCAAGTGCTGTAAAACTTTTACTAAACTTTAAAAAAAGAACTTTAAAAAAATTGTCCTGCAACGGCTTGATGTTCACTATTCCCAGGAAATTAACCAGCTGTCTGCAACAGCGGAGGGCAACAGTTTCCTACACATGACTCCATGCCTTGGGGCAAGTGCTTTGAACCTCTCCTCCAGCTTCTCCAAACAGCATGCAAACCTCTCCGCCGGCGCAGCGGGGCTCAACAACTCATCTAGCTTCTCCCCCCTGAGGAGTTTCAGCAGCAAGATTATGTCCCCTGGTGGAATCTTGCGAGCGAGTCCATCTGCTGGCATAATGTCTTCCAAGTGAGCTTGTGGAAACTGTTTATGTGTGCATGCTTATTTGATGTATTTACTGTGACAGTATGTATTGCGGTTTATTTACGGTAACTTTGGAAGCAGTAGCATAGTCAGCAATAGATGCTGATTGCAGTGCATGTTTGTTGTTTGAACTGTCCTTATGGTACATCTGCTGTTGACAACTGGCTCTCTGTCTCGCTCTTTCACT